AGAGGCGGCGGCGATGCTGCGCCCAGCAGCGGGGCTCTCCCTGTGCCTGGCGCTGGCCCTCGTCAAGGTGAGCGGCCGGGCGGGGCCCCAGCTCCCCTCCCCCCAGCTCCTTCCCTCTGCACTGGCCCCAGGGCAGAGCAGCTCCCCTGCACCCCGCTTTCCTGCTGCCCCTGCTCCCCCAGCCAGGTGCGAGCCACCGCCCCACGCCCCCGGCAGCTCCCGGGGCAGGGCGCAGTCTCCCCGCGCCGAGGCAGGGCCCAGAGCGAGTGGCGCGGCTAACCAGCGTGCTGTGTTGTGTCTGCTCCCTCTCCAGAGCGGGCGCGGGGAGGCTGGGAAATGCCCCATCGCCCTGGCGGAGTGGAGGGTCTCCAGCCAGTCAATCCATCTCCAGTGGAGCACGTCGGGCGCCCTCTGCAACTTCACCCTGACCTGCCGCTCGGACAACGCCTCGCACCCAGACTGCCAGCCCGTCCAGACTGCTAACCGGTCCTACGAATGCAGCTACAGTGGCTTAGAAGCAGGGACTTTGTATCATCTCCGGATTTTCTCCCTCTCGGACACAGAATCGAGCGACATCTCCTTGCAAACAGGTAAGGGCGACAGGTGCAGAAGTGCTGCAAACTTTTTTCTTTTCTTTCCTTTTTTTCCCCTTGGGTAAGGAGGTTGGAGATGGTTTGTCCTCGCCACACCTCGCTTCGAGGCTGATTTTCTCACCTTGCTTTGACGTCCCGAAGGATTATTGAAGCTGTGTCCAAAAGCACTTTAAGTCTATACTGCTTGCTGCAGGCTGGCTGTAGAATTCCTGTTTTAGCTCCCTCCCAGTTATCCGACTTTAAAGGAGTTTGTACTATCAATAGTCTCGATCTGTTTCAAGGGTTTATTTTGTTTAAAAAGTATATCTCAAACTATTATCATACAAAACCGAAGATCCCTTTTGAAATAGAACCATAAACATGTTTTGTGCTCTTCAAAGACATTACAGATTTTCAGTTCCGTCCAGCTTGCCTTTAAAACACTATTCTATTAAAAACTAACTGAACCTATGGAATGGATTACTCTGCATAATTTTATTGGAAATGAGATTGACGAATATCAGCCCATGAAAGCTGACAGGTAGCTGTCCAAAGCTAGTCCTTTTCCCTAAAATAAAATTTCTTGTAAAATTATAGTTAAAATACAAATCTATGTAAAATATTTCCTACAAATATAAATCATGGGAATGCATCCAGTATTACATAAGGACCAGTTGTCGTCCCTAGGTTTATTGTATTGGGAGCATAATTGGCTATAATATACTAAAATATTATTGTAGCTATATTCTGCTAATGCAATCCATCTTTGGTTTCCTGTGTACACACAATGTATAGCTTTAAAACAAAGAATTGCACAAAACTATTTACTTCAGTAGGTGAAGCATTGGACTCTGTCTTTCATATACTGGTGTTTTAACTTCATTTCTTTTTTTAAAGCTGCTGAAATATAATATTTGACAACCTTCTGCTAGTTGCTAATACTGGACTCAAACCAGAGATCTTAAAATGTAAAGGGCTCTATCATCTGATTCCTTCTTTTACACTTTCCTGAGATTTTCAATATAGAGAGAGACTGCAGTTTTTAAATGTAATCTTTGAAGGTGACTGTAAATGAATACTTAGAAGTGACCCTCTCTGATCCTCATTGTCTTGTATCACAATTACAGAGCATCTTCTCCAGATAATGTTAACTAAGCTCAGTTAGGCTACGTCTAGACTACAAGCCTCTTTTGAAAGAGAGCATCTAGACTGCAACCACTTCTTTCGAAAAAGAGCACCCAGGCAGACTGGCTGCTCTCTTTCGAAAAAGCCCTGTTTGCATTCAAGAACACCTTTTTTCGAAAGAGCATTTAAAAGAAAAAGGTGTTCTTCCTCGTAAAATTAGGTGTAGCATGGTCAAAAAAACTGCTGTGTTCTTTAGATTTAATTTCGAAAGAATGTGGTGGCAGTCTAGATGCAGGGGAAGTTTTTTGAAAAAAGGCCCCTTTTTCCGAAAAAAACCCCTGTGGTCTAGATACACCCTTAACTGGCAATCAATTAATTCTAGGTTAAAAAGTCTAGTGTAGTCAAATCCAGTGTGATAGGCATATATTCCACACTAGAAATATTATATGGTTTGGTAGATTTGATATAGTTTCCACAACAATTTCTTATATCTTCCATTGCTCCAACTGTTTTTAATATTGATGACTCATACTTTAAAAATAAAAATAACAAATTAACTGTTATCTAAGTAACAGGTATCTATCAAAACTTTGTTGAATGGTAATTTTTTTATATTGCTCTTGAATTGAAGATGAGAAAAAGATAGCAACATAGATAGTAGATTGTATAATATGTAAGTGGAAAGAATTTTGATTATGATATAATATTTCATTTAGAGTCTAGACACTGGTTTTTGTGTGTGTACATATTTCTTGAGAAGATTGTGAAACTTGCTTGTGGAATTGCTACTCAGGTTGCTTTATTTGCATTATATATGTTGCAATATCACCCAGCACCTGGATGTAGTCAAGTTATTCACATAATTTGGGTTATGTTTGGAAATACACAATTATCTGTCAAATGTAACTATTTACAATGTTTTTAATTAATGTCTTTGATTTGTTAAGGGTTATACAAGGCAAACAGAATGTATAGACTAAAATGCAGTACATTTGAATATATAGCAATATAGTTTTTAAAAGAGAATATTATTTCATTTCCACTAGGGGCAATATTTTGCTTTAGTTTTCTGGAAGTCCCATTTTTTCTCACTGACGTCTAGTATCAGTACTTTTGTAAAATAAGTTATTGAAACTGAATCTATAAAGGTTCGTTCTTAGAAATTAAGCTATGAGTTTGTGCTTATGTGATAGGCTGCTTTTGGGCAACTTATGCTGAAAAGTAAAACTCCCACTGATTTAATAGGAGCAGAATCAGGTCCACCATGTATATCGATGTGTATAAAGTCATTTGTGTCATATAGACCACAGATATAACTTCTTGTGAACATTTCTTCTAACCTATCCTTTTAATGCTTTTATAGGGCTCGTTCTTATACTGAACTTAAATTTTGCCCATGACATTTTGCTTAATGCTGTTCTTTAATGTCAGATGTTCACACTCACAATATGAAGTGCCTGAGTAGTTAAAATAATGTTGAAGTTTAACTCCTTAAACCCCTAATATTAAAAACAAGTTATATCTTTAATTTGTGCAATTTTGCTTTGACACTTAAGGTGAGATCAGTGGATAGTACATACCACATGTGCTGCAATTCTTGAGAAAAAGGTTTAAACTGAGGAAAACCTTTAATTTGATTTGGTTTTGTGAATATTATTTGGACTTTTAAATTACTCTAAAATACTGTAATTTAATACTTTACTGTATTAAAAGCACTTCCTATGTTGAGCGATGGGGCTTTTTCTAAATAAGAAAAAAGAATTTACTTAAATTTCTATTTAATTTCAGAGAATCATAGAATAATAAAACTGGAATGAACCTTGAGAGATCATCATGGCCAGCCCTCTGTCCCTATGGCAGGACCAAACACTGATCATCCTTGATAGATGTCTGTCCAACCTGCTCTTAAATATCTCCAGTGATGGAGATTCCACAACCTCCCTAGGCAATATATTCCTGTGTTTAACCACTCTGACAGTTAGGAAGTCTTTCCTAATGTTCAGCCTAACCCTCCCTTGCTGCAATTTAAGCCCATTGCTTCTTGTCCTATCACTTTTCTTCCTCCTCCTTGTAACACGCTTTTAAATACTTCTATCTAAAGCTGCTATCATGTCCCCTCTCAGTCTTTTCTTTTCTAAACTAAACAAGCCCAGTTCTTTTAGTCTTCCCTCATAACTCATGTTCTCTAAACCTTTAATCATTTTTGTTGCTCTTCTCTGGACCTTCTCCAATTTTTCCACATCCTTCTTGAAATGTGGTGCCCAGAACTAGACACAATACTCCAAGTGAGGCATACTCAGCACAGAATAGAGCAGAAGAATGACATCTTGTGTCTTGCTCACAACACGCCTGTTAATGCATCCCAGAATCATGTTTGCTTTTTTGCAACAATGTCACACTGTTGACTCATATATAGCTTTGGATCCACTATGACCCCTAAATCCCTTCCTCCAGTACTTCTTCCTAGACAATCACTTCCCATTCTCTGTGTGTGAAACATTGTTTCTTCCTAAGTGGAGTACTTTGCATTTGTCTTTATTAAACTTCATCTTATTTACCTCTCTAGTTTGTCTAGATCATTTTGAATTATGACCCTCTCCTCCAAAGCATTTGCAACCCCTTCCAGCTTGGTGTCATCTGCAAACTTAATAATCGTACTCTCTATGCCATCATCTAAATTGACAATTGAAGATTATTAATTTGTAGAACATTGATCCAATACATCACAAGTGTTCATTCAGATGAAGTCTGCTATGGCAATGTTTACCGAAGAATCTTTAATCTACAGATTATTGATTGGAAATGACATAAGAAAAGCCATGCTGGTGAGACCTAAGGTCCATCTAGCCCAGTATCCTGTCTTCCAACAGTGGCCAGTGCCAGATGCCCCAAAGGGAGTGAACAGAACAGGTAATCATCAAGTGATCCCTTTCCTTTTACCCATTTCCAGCCTCTGACAAACAGAGGCTAAGGACACCATTGCTACCCATCCTGGCTAATAAGTATTGGTGGACCTAACCTCCATTTATTTATCTAGTTCTTTTTTGAACCTTGTTAAAGCCCTGGTCTTCACAGCATACTCTAGCAAGGAGTTCCACAGGTTGACTGTGCACTGCATGAAGAAATACTTCCTTTTGTTTTTGTTTTTTTAACTGCTACCTGTTATTTTATTTGGTGACCCCTAGATCTTCTGTTATGGGAACAAGTAAATAATTTTTTCCTTATTCACTTTCTCCATATCTGTCATGATTTTATCGATCTCTATCATATCTCCCCTTCGTCTCCTCTCAAGATGTGAACCTCTGCAACTAGTCTTCACTTGACAAAAATGTGGCATAAATATAACTGTATATATATATTGATGTTTTATTTTGATAGCAGTGCTATTTTTGGAGAGCAGAAAACGAGAGGGGAAATGCTGATAATTTATCAGAATTGAGCTACAGATAAATTCTGCACTGCAAACCTAAAATTACAGATGTGATTAGGCATCAAGTTTGTGCCTCTGGCATATTTTGGAACTTATTTTAGCAGTTCTGTAATATTTAAAATGTATAAAGCACTATACAAGATATAAATGTACATAGTATTCTGGAAAATATTATTGATATTTTAAAATCTGTAGTAAGAAAATATGTGTGTAGGGGGTGATTTTGTAACCCTTATTCAAGTGTGAAGAAGAACCACTATAAGAACTAAAGGTTGTAAGATTGGACATTAAGTTTTCAGACAAAAACTGATGCTGCAAACACTTATGCAGTTATGTATGTACTTAACTTTTTCATCTGAGTAGCCCCTCTGAGAGACTTCATGACCTTAATTAGAACATTAGGGCCAGATTCACAACATAACTGCATTAGGATCCCTAAGCAAGTTGGATGGAGAAACACTTA